TAAAATATTATTATTACAGTAGAGAGATGATATCGATCTCTCTGCGCGGTCCGGAGGATGTGTTTGGTTTCATTGCCACTTCTCACATAGCCCGTGAACGCACCGTCACTTCCTCTCTAACAAGCCGCGCCTGCTTGTGAGTGAGGGACCGAGCTGAGGAGGAGGGGGACAGCCCGTCAGCGAGGAAAAACACCATGTGAAGACACGGTGGACATATAAAGGGACACGGACAGAGAGAGAGAGACACAGAGACAGAGAGGGAGGGGGAGCAGTCTTCATTAGTCTCACCTACACCGGCTTCTGGTTTCTAACGGCTCGGGACAGAGCGAATGGACAGAGCCGGAGAGAAGCAGGAGCAGGACAGTGTCACCAACCACGGTACAGAGAGAGAGAGAGAGAGAGAGTGTGTGAGAGAGTGAGAGAGAGAGAGTGTGTGTGTGAGTGAGAGAGTGTGTGTGAGTGTGTGTGTGTGAGAGAGAGAGTGTGTGTGTGTGTGAGAGAGTGTGAGAGAGGTGTTAGCTTCTTCTGGGTGCTCGTACGTGTTAAAAGGTGACAGTTAGCACCTTTTGTTGTTTGCTAGCTAATGTGTGCATCTTGTATGTATAGTGCCAACAATAAATGAACTGTCAAAGTGGAGACAAAAACACTAACGCTGCAATTCTGAGTATGATTCAGTGTTAGTAACTTGAATGGTAAATGGTGCTGTGGGTTATCTTCTCCCTTCCTCTTTTTGTGTTACTAATAGTAATGATGGGGAAATACTATGGTGTTGTAATGAATCAGAAACAAACCCATATATCATAATAATAATAATAATGAAATCCTCCCATTGAACTCACTTAATTCAACAAGGATGCACTCAGTGTGGGTCAGCTCACTCACTACACTTCCATAATTCAGCTAGTGCTGTAGAAGTAGTGGGAATATATTAATAAATGCTATTTATAACTTTTATATACAGTTACAAGGTGCTTTACAAGAGGAAACAGTTAAAAAGCAAACAATAATACAGAGCTAGAGCTCAGATATAGAAGAACGTGTAAAATAAAATAAAACTTCATCAAAATGAAAGAACACCTATGAAAATGTGTTCGATTCAAAAGAGGATGAGGAGTTTGTCAGACAGATCTCCTCAGGGAGATTGTTCCAAAGAGAGGGAGTCATGGTCCTCCTTGTAGCAGTAGTACTGGAAGTACTGATGTTTATGATTGCAGATTTAATGTAGTAAACGCATGCCTTACTGTTTGTTACACTGCCACTGTAAGTGTCCAAAGTAAATGAGGATTTTACCGCAGAGGAATGTGTATTGGTCTGTCCCGCGTTGACTCCAGTGTTTCCCCCACATCTGTTTGATATTCAGTAGCTTTCAAATCAGGAAAATATGAGAGGGAGCGAGAGAGGGAGGGAGGGAGGGACTGAATGAGTCTGTGGTCCGTGAGGAGCAGCGCAGCCTTGTGATCAGTGTCATTTCCCCGACGCTTGAATAGCCCCGAGGTGAGTAAGCCCACAACTCTCACGGCTCTGACAGGTCAGTTAAGTACAGAGAGGGAAGCAGGGGGCAGCTTGGCCCTTTTTTTTTATGGCGAGGAATGTGAATAAAAACGTAGCCTGAGACAGGGCTGTTAAAGACTGATGCCTGAGGGGGTCTTCTCATCACTGGACTCCCACAGAGTCCAGTGTCTGATGCAGGGAACAGACTATGAGAACGTGGACATCCAGGATAAAAGTGTAACCAGCATGCCTTGTTGTTGGTGGGAGTTTAGGTTTAGATTAAGATTCAATAGCTACTAAGACTTTGTCCAGAAGAGACGGTGTAATGGGATAATTGAGGTTGAAGTGGGTGAAACAGCAGCTGTTAGGTCGAGCTCATGCTTTGGCTTACATAAGTGACAGAGCCCTTGTCTTGAGGTCATCGCTTGTATATTGCTTTGTTTATGAGCTGAAGAGGTTTGTTGTACTCTGGGCTAAAAGGATGACTAATTGGCTATGCAAGACAATGGTTGTGTGTGTGTGTGGGTGTGGGTTGGCATTTGTGTTTGTGTGTGTACTCCTTTTTGTTGCCTCTTTACAACCATTTCCAGTGTAAAGACTGTGGACTTCATGGGGACCCAAGATCTGTCCTACTTAGGCTAGATGTCATTTGCGAGGCCCTGTTGAGGTTAAGGGTAAGATGTCAATTGTGGTAAAGTTATGTTTAGGGTTAGGCATGAATTGGTCATGGTTATGGTTAGATACATGGGATCAGAGTTTTGTAAGGCTGTCCAGTGTCCACAATGAATGGAAGTGAATGCAGTGTCATTAAGACGGTGCCTGTGCAGACTTGTTTTGTGTGCGTGTGTGTGCGTGTGTT